TTTCGAAAGAAATCAAGTTTCTCAAATGCGCACACTTTTTCGAGATTCTAAGCCTGAATTTTATGTATAAGAAGAGATGTTTCTCCCATCGTTGCTACTTTGGACGAATAAGAAGAGCCGCTTTTAAATTAGCGAACGCGGCAAAGCTGACCTATACTATAATAATACTACCATATACCTTGAGATCGTACACTAACGAGCGCGCGTGGACGTTCGTTATAAGAGGTTGTACAGAATAGCGTTAACAAAATTTACGAAGCTATACTCAGTAACGAGCAAAGCCGATCTTACGTCATCCGAGAAATAGACTGCTATCCCAAGTACCTACATATATATCCTTATGCATATATAATACCAAATCCTAATTATCATTGAATAATGCCAAATTAAATTTTCAAACGCATGATCTTTATTCCATATACATATATATATCAACACCTATATCTGCACATTATCAGTTATTCGTCTTAATGATTTAATTAAATCACTGAAATTTAATTTACGAAATTTAATTACTCGCATTTAATTAATTACAAACATAATTTTAATTAATATAGGACTCAATAGCAATTATAAGATAAATTGAAACCGCAAAATTGATAAACAATAACAAAAAAGAAATATAATCTCGCATAATCAAAAATTATAAAAATTAATGAAAATAACTGATATATATATACTTCACGCGTTTTATAATATTTAGTATGTAATAACGATTCTCAATTATTATTTACTTCCTAATGATCCAAACAATTAAGAAAAAAATTGAAAAACTCGAAGTATATCCTTTTTTTAGGGCGGTGATGAAGACAGATGCGAGTGATTATAGCGGTTGGAGATTAAAAAGGTATTCTGATTCCATATGGCTATATATATATATATAGCATAGTATTACTTTCTCGAAAATTGTCCATATATAATCCAGTGATTGTAACTGGAAAAAAATTGTTGAAAAAATGAATAAAATGTTCTTAATATTTTTCAATGATTTTAAATAACAATTAAATATAATTATTTAATTATATATATCATTTCCTTCTTTGATATATAATTCCTAAATTAAATAATAATCGTATCGAATAAAGTATCTAAATATAATAAAATTAAAAAATCTAATGATGAAATTAATATAAACTGATAATAAATGAATAAATCTATAATATTTGATTGATTGACACACGGAAGCTTTGACGACGTTTCCCATCAAATTCTTATACAGAAACATATATATAAAATATATATTATATTGACGGAAGTAAGTGTTTTATATATATATGCTCTTCCGTAAATACTGTGAGGATATATTGTTGCCATTTGGTTTTTCTAATGGAACTTGTCATCGTGCGCGATATACATCAAAAGAAGAGTGTGTGTGCATATAATACACTGGAGAGATGTTGCAAAGGAGGATCTTTTTATCTCGAATCAATTTAACTACCACTTATCAGTCGTCAGCTGTCGATATGGCAAGAATCGTCATTCTTCAATTGCAACCCTTCCATCAAAAGTGGTTACGGGGTGACGAAGTACTTTGAAACAGAAGACAACTGAATGGAGGAAACCACTTTTTTCCTGTTGACGAGAAAGGATGCAGGCAGTTAGCTACACAGGATGAAGCTACTTCTTTTTATACCTATAATGTTCAAGTGCCACTGACACTCCTGTTATTACCAAATCTTATGAATATATGTATATAAATTGCCTTTTATAATAAAGATCAAATGTCCATTCACAATCCCACCTTTATTACTTAACAATAGTCTCGTTATTCACCTGACGATATTATTCCATCTTCCCAAGAAAGCATTATATTATTCATTTTCTCCAACATCAACAATATATATATATATATATATATATATATATATATATATATATATATATATATAATGCATGTGTGAATATGTTTTCTTTAAAAATAAAACAAAGTAATGCGGTTGACAATTTTTTCCCAATGCTCGCAAGTAATATCATTTTTCTCGCATAATATGTAAAGACATATAATTTAAGAAAATTTTTTTTAAAGGATTTGGTATTGCGTACAGATTTATTTAAATTTTATTTATGATTAATATTTTGCATTATTAATAATTTAATATATAATTTTTAATAATTGTTATTAATCAGTATAATTAATAAACACTAATTCAGATGAATCCGATGAATTTTTCAAACGTTGTCAGCCATATTGGATCCGCCATTTTGAATTTTTCTAACCTGACATCAAATTTGTAATTGCGAGCAATTTCCATGGGATGTGATCACAAGAATTTTTGATAATTGGAGCAATTTTATTGAAACCTTGTGAATATATTCCTTTATTTGTACAGAATGAAAGCCCACAAACAATTTTTCAAAATTTTCAAAATTTTTTGCAAATATCTCGAAAAGTACGAATTTTCGTAAAAAATGTTTAAGATCAAAGTTGTTCGAAACAAAAAGATCTATATACATATTTGAGACCAAAAAATTGGGCCGGGGCCCAATGTTGGGCCATACAATGAAAAAATTGGTTTTCTTAAATAAGACCTCACTAATTTTCAGTATCAAGTTCGTAATCCCTATGAAATTCTGCGTTCAGACATGTTGTATAAGTGCTCAAAATACAGTAAAACATACAGTTGGAATTAGAGAAATTCCAAAATAAATATATATTATTTTCGAATATAACCTTAAAGTTCAAAAATATAGATTAAAAACGAACATATAACTAATATATCGAACAATTGATAATTGTTTTTCTAAAAATTTGGCTAAAATTCATTCTTTGAAGAATATATTAATTAATTATTATATTGCTAATCTCATTTATATATTATTTTAGAATAGTTAAAAATTAAATTTCTGGAATCATATTTAAATATATACACAGAAAAAAAGGTGGGTAAATTTTGTTGCGGGTAATTTTAACTAATGCTAATTCACATAGACGGTGGCGCCGTCAACTAGGATATAAAATTTGTTGCAGGTAATTTTTATACCGATTTTAGGGTAAAAATTCTACTTTTTTTTCGTGTGTTGGTAATTTAATACAGTTTGATTCCATTAATTTAATTCATATAATATTACTATTTCTAAGTCTTGCAAAAACAATTACAGCCTTAAAATTGAAAATCATGGGGGTTGAAGCGCGAAGCTCGCAGGGGGCGCAGCCCCCTTAGTGTTTTTATGTGTGTAAAGTATGTGTGCAACATTCGCCGACGGGAAGAATAGTAGTAGTCCTTTAAAAAATAAAACTTAAAAAATATACATATATATATATAAATAAAAATATTCTCTGATGATTTTTGTAAAAATTTGGATTTAACTATAGAGGTTTATATATATAATACTATAGCTTATTGAAATATATATATATACAAAAGCGCGCACTGTGATATGCGGTTATAATATTATAAGCAAAATATACATTCAAGGCGATAGAAAATATATTTTACGGTTGCGGAAAAAAAGTATGCGCGTACACACGACGTTGAAAATTGAGAGAAGGGAATATGGCTTATATGCTCGAGCAAAGGAGATTTATAGTTCATTTTTTTTTCTTGCAGCGCAACTATCCAACTTAAGACTGCTGTATAATGAGTCTTAACGATCGTCTTGGCGAACGCGTTGACGCGTTGAACCTATGGCGAAAAATGAATAAGTGATGCACGACTCTTGTGCACGCTAGCCGCAAGCTGTCAAATGCATTTTGCAAAATATATATGCATCGCTTTTATATATATATAATATATATATATATACCTAAAATATCGAATAATTACAAACAGAAAATTAAAATAACAGAGGTGCCTTTATTCTTTTATTATCATAAATGTTCCCGCGATAAGCCATATCAATAAAAAAAATATATATATATAGACATATCGATTTTACATATATATATTCTAAATGAAAGTTACGACGTTTATTAAGTATTTGAACAAGGAGAATAACAAAGAATTACTTGACCAATAAGATATACAATATAAAATGGAATTGCTTTATACAGATATCTTGAAAAAATATTTTCCACAATTATATTGATGAACAACATTTATTGTTGATCAAAAGATAAAAAGAAGCATATACGACTTTTCAGAAAAACTTTCAATTATTTTTTGCAGCTTCTTATATCAAAAGAATTGTTCTACGGATCTTTAACGACACCATTAATTTCTCAACATCAACAACAGTAATTGAAGAAATATATATCATCGTGAAATTTCTTATTAATTTTTTTTTTCAAAGGTACAAACTGTCTGGATATATCTTGTTGAATCGTGTATATATATATGAAACAAAAACAATCTTGCGATCAGGATATTAATTTGATCTCTCCCTCGAATCAAGGTAAGTAAGGGCTTATGGATGTGACTCCATCACCATAGGAGGAAGAATTCCCCGCGTGTTGTGTCGAGGGCGATAAGCCAGTTATAATCGTCTCGGGGTCGATCGTTGGATGAAACTTTAGATTGCGTACGTGTGGATGCATTAACACTGCGTAAAGTAAAGAGCAGTGAAAAGCATAAGGAGCATCAAAGACGAGAGAGAAGCCTCTGAGAATACCTGCAGTGCAGGGGGTAAGGGGTTTTTGGGTGGAGAAAAAGAGGGACAATGATGATCAGACGTTACGAGGATAAAAGGGAGAGGGAAATCGTGAAGGAGGTGGGAACTTAATCGATGCAGGAGGGAGAGATTGAAGCAGGACGATGAGAGAGAAAGAGCGCAAGGGATACAGTGGGGCGCCCATACAAAAATTGCAGATGAAGGTAAAGGTAGAGACAGAGGCAGCCGCCCCTTTTTTGTAGCCTCGCTGACATGTGGAGCCAAAGATATCAGCTCTCGGGGAGAATTGTGGGCGTCTCTTTGACGATTATTCGTTCGCCACTTACCAGATGTCGACCAGTTTCGCCCACCAAGCTGTTCTCCCCGCCAAATTTGGGCTTGCACTCATTTTGTTACCGCCTCGAAACGCCCCTAGCCGGCCCTCTACTGTTTCTACACTGCAGACGCGTCGCGGCAACCAACTGGACAACTTAGCCGGCCCCGGTCAAATCCTGTGTGTCTACCCGGCTCTTCTCGTGGTCCAAACCGCGAGTATCGCGACTTATCTCGATTCAATTTCGATTGACAGTTATCAGTGTAATTATCCCATTGAACATTTGGAATAATTTCTTGAGTGTTTATGCAAATTTTAACCAAGAAATTAAAATTTCTTTCATCACATAAGATATCAGTAAAAAAGTGTTATCAATCCAATAAAGTGTTTTCAGTTTTATACTTTAAGAAATAACATGTGGGACATGATATGGATTATTTAAATTAATTCTAAAGGATGAAGTGAAGGGACAAATATTGAAAAGTGAATGAAATGTGTTTAAATGATATGAGGCGACGGAAGAGGATCAGCTAAAACACAAACGTATGTGGGTCAGGATGAAAACACGATTGTTGCGTTGCCCACTCTGAATTTGAGAGAGAGGGTCGCAAAGTTGCCACGAGCTCACATCAGAGTTCGTGGAACGGAACTCATCTCAAATATGTCAAGCGGCTCAACCGAGGTGTCATCACCAGGATTCGATGGATTAGAACATTCCAGTAAACAAAATTCTCTAGTGTTACGCGTGGACGAGAAACAGGGGACAAAGTGTCGCTCAGGCGACAGTGATTGCGAGAGTGATACAAGTGAGGTTCTCAGTGTTGGCAGTGAACCGCCGCCAACATTGTCGGAATTTCGGGACTGTAATAATTCCGCGAAATATGAAGAAACTAGTCGAACTGAATTCCAAGATGAGGAGAACACAAGGATATCGTGTACACCATCACCATCGAGTTCAACCAGCTGTAATGATCCCTATTATCATCGGACATCGAATCCAATTCAAGCACCTAGTCCACCAGCGTACAGTCAACCGCCATCATCTCCCACGGCTTCATCCGTTCGATCCCCAGCATCTTCGAGTGCCACTGCATCCTCTCCAGGTCGACCAGATCTTCCTCAGGAGACGATACTCTCACGATATCAATCAGCTCATCAACATCTTTTCTCAAGGTTCGCCAGGGATTCATCTGATCTCGCCGATTATCCATCACGACTACCGCACGGTTTGAGTCATGAGATTATTTATCCAGCTGCGGAAAGGTTGCACAGAACACCAATCAGCGTTCCTTTAGTGACCAGAATCTCCCTATCTCCACCATCCGCCATGACTGTTACCGTTTTGCAAGCCTCAACGCCCGTTTTGCATCCCACTGCATGCAGGGATCCACGAGATACCCTTATGCCACATCCTCCTCACAATATTCACCATGGACTATCAAATTCTCATAGTCACCTTTTGCAAAACTCACAAATTCAACACGTTCCAGCGACTGCAATTCATCAGCATCGCTTATCAGTTAGTAAAATTCTTCAAAGAGATCATGAAAGTGTTTCGCCGAAACCAAGAGAGGAGAATGGTAACGGAAGAACTGGTACCAATTCCTCAAATGGCAATCAAAATAATGCCAATGCGATTAACAATAATGACAATCATAATAATAATAATAATAATAATAATCTTCAACATCAGACGGGATTAATAAAGTTCAGTATAGACAATATTCTTAAGGCTGAGTTTGGTAGGAGAATAACGGATCCTATTTCATTGAAGAAGTCACGACCCAAAAAAGTGATTCCCAGACCAATAGACTTAACGAAAGATTTTCTTGAATCGTCGTCGGAGGGTTCTGAACGTGGCTCGGAAGCCTCCACGACAAACACATCTCCAGGTGTTCCCACGAGCAATACTCCCACTAGCGTATCAGGATCGCAAGGATCAGAACCTGGAAAAATGGTATGGCCTGCGTGGGTTTACTGCACCAGATACTCCGACAGACCTTCTTCTGGTGAGTTTCTTCATCTGTTATATACCAATAAATGATAAGCTATATATAATCAATTCTTTTAAACGATCCTCCAATTCAATCGGATAAATAGTCTAAATGTTGATCAACTATAATATTAATTCTATCTAACAATCAAGTGTGTAAAATTATTTTACATTAATTCATCAGTTGATCAGCTAATGATCGAGAAATTAAAATTATTACCAACTTCATTGGTTGATCAATTTATCAGAATCAATAATTGATCACCTAAAAAATTATCGTTTGATCATCAATTGAAAAAATTCATCAGTTTGATCAACTATTTGATTCAATCGGTTGATCGATAAACTGAATTTATGATTAGTTAATTAATTTTCTTGGATGAAGAACCATATTATATTTTTGATTCTAAAAACTGATTCCGTCGAAGAAACTACCAAGTCGATAAGATCGGAGTTGACTAGAATTCTATTTACTGAAAGTTATTCGTTATCTATCTCTGATTTTTCTGCTTTTACTTTCATCACTTTTTCCTCGACTCTTTATTTCTAATTGTTTTAAATTCTTTTGTAAAGCATCGTATCTCATTCACGCGGTTATAAAAAGAAAGAATTAAATTATAAAATGAAGAAAATATACATGAATCCTCCAAGAAATTCAATAAGTTGATCAACAGATTAAAACAAATTAATTTGATAAATTTTAATAATAATAATTAATTATGATAATAATAATTTTATCGCAGTTAACCACAACCAATTGATTCGATCTCTAATTATAAACTGACTATATTGATCAACCAAATAAATTATTTTAATAATCAAATATATTTGATTTTACTATAGCTGATTATAACCAAATTATATCAAAATAAGATATCTTATTAACTCTCTATTATCAAATTTTATTCGATCACTTGATCAATCGAATTTTATTAGTTGACCATAACCAATTGAATCTATCTATTAATTAACCACTTGACTCCATCCGTTGATCTACCATTTTTCTATTATCAACCATAATTATTTCTTCCTGATGAACCTTGTGATTCAATATATGTTGATCAAAATCTGATTCCGTCGGACAGAGTCGTACTTTATTACAATACTTTTTATATTTATCATTCTTTGATAATTATAAGAAAAACTTTAATGCAGACTTAATTTCACGAAAAATGTAATTCTATCGGATGGATCGAAAACTGATTAGTTTATGCGCATCATCAATTTATGGATTAATATTAGTTAATCAATTCATTGATTGTCAAATGTTCAACAAAAAAAAAACTATATCAATTGATCAAACCGATTCCGTAAGAAGATCATCTAAATAAACCGCATTGAATCAATTATTTGATTTCATCAATTGAATCAATCACTTTATTTTCCATCAATTGGATCAAACACTTTATTCCAATTGGATCAATCACTTTATTACATCATCAATTCAATGAAGTGTATATATAACTGATTCCATCGAATTATCAATCAAATAATTTTGCATTAATTTATTGATGATTATAATTTTCAAATTAATGCAAAATCTATCAAAAATTATAGCTTATATTCGCAGCGGAATGATAATCAGTCAATTAAAATTACCAATTAATAAACAATAGACATCGGTGAAAACCACAATGTTTATGATTAATAATAATTTAAATGAAAAAATATTTTTTTGTACAAATTATTATAATTTGTTTATTGAAAAAATGTTTGCAATGTTTCTAGATCTAAAAATCTAGAAAAATTTTTGGGCAAAAAATTAATTATTATTCTCAAAATGAAAAATATGTTTTATTGTTTTGATCATAAACATTTTGAACTTCCTCGCTCTCTAAATTTGAATCAGTGAAAAAGTCACTGGTCTCAAATCAGTCGCTAAATTCTAGCTATTTGAATCAGTAACATTTCACTGATTTTCAGTCATAGTAATTGATTCTCCAGTGAAATGTCACTAACTGTCAGTGAAAACCACTAATTCAAATAGCTAGAATTTAGCGACTGATTTGAGATCAGTGACTTTTTCACTGATTCATATTTAGAAAGCGACGTTATATAGTTATGATTAACATTTGATAAATATATCATACACCAATATAAAATATTATTTGAAATCTAATGTAATTATTGTTTTAGAGCATTGCATTTCACTGTTAACTTAAAGATATATTAAATTAATCCTCGAATTGATCCGATAACGCGGATCAAAAATTTTGCTTCTCAAAAATTTGATACGGATTTTAGTATCAATTTTATATCTTCAAGTGAACTGCGTGAATTACTAATACTAATAAAATTATAAGAATTTATAAAACATTTCGTCTGACTAAAAATGTTGTTTGCTATATATACTTTCACAAAAATTGCAAATCTGACTGTGTATCAAATCAGTCAAAAGAGATATACATATAAAAATTTCTAATTGCAACACTTAATATAATTTTATTGTCGTCGCCAATAACTCAGTATTATTAAACGACAAGTTAATAAAATGTTAAATAAATGTCGTGCTTATCGCAAATTAAAACCATATACCAAGCTTAAATTCCATTTCCGCGCTACAAATTACCTCATTTTGATCGAGGAGTCATTTCAAATTCTAATTACATGCACTTCGTCTGAATATCGTTATCTGTTGACTGCTAATAAAATGATTTATTCCTGCACCAGTCAAGTCTTATTATTATAAACACAAGATTGTACATAAAACTATATATATATACATATATATTCTCCACACATTATTATTAAGACAGTTGCGCGCGTTTGTAATCATCATCCTTATAATTCCTCGACGTTTTTCTTCGACACAAAATGAAGGGAAAAAAAGAAAATGAAATAAAAAATTATTCTTTTCTGCAGAAATTGTATATATATATATATATATATATATATATATATATATATGGGGTCAGTGTAAAATTATCATTAAACTATCTCTTTCAGGAAGGAAAAGAGTTTCTTTTTTCTTTTCTAAATGAGGATTCATTTTAAAGAGTTTTGCTCATCGTTGTGTTCAGTATGAGAGAGAGAGAAAGAAAGAGGCCTAAAGGTTATAATTTATCCGAATGGAAGCACGCGGGACAGGCAATTAGCTATGAGAACCATATGCAGCGCGTATATACATGCATAATGAGGCGTGCGTTTGCTAAAACATTCGTTGGCTTTCGTTCACCGTGTATAACTGAACACGAAACAAGTCTAAGAGATTGTACGATTATGCGACCAGTTTTATATTATATATATAGTGACGACTCGTGTTGCCGTCATGGGTGCCGACGAGCTAAAGTCCGACGGACGATGAAGGTGCTCGATTATATTTCCTATATATATACATATATAATTGTTAAAGAAATCTAATCTTTATCATATATCTTCAGTTTTTAAACGTGATTTGCTATTACTATGTGCGAAAATATATTTCCGACAGTTAATCGTGTAAACTTTTTACATATATTTTTTTGTACTTTTTTGCAAAAATTAAAAACTTTTCAAGTCTATGGAAATTCGTGTCACTTTAAGAAAATTATTGTTATTAGATAATGAAAAGACGTTGGCTATATTTTAAATTTCAAAAATTGTTGATTACGTCAATATTTGATTTGTGCTTTGAAATATAAATGTACTTGAAAAATATTTTTTTTTTGTTTCAAAAACGATTGTAAAACGTTACACGGGAAAAAGAGAAACGTTGGAATAATACCGTTTTCCGATTGGTTCAACGTCAGTGGGCCCTGTCACGATTTCGGCATTGATTCAACAGACTTTTACTGTTGAACCTACTGTCCATCTATTGTTACAAGTAAGTTGATCCAACAGACACTGCCTACAGCGCTCCTTGCCGTTGAACCAATCGGAGAACGGTATTAATCCAACGTTTTTCTTTTTCCCGTGTATGATCATAAACGTTGTGAATAACTTCACTAAGGTGGACTGCATACGAAATTTTCATTATCTAACTCTTTTTATCTTTTCCTTTTCTTTTATTTTTTCTATTCCTTTTTTTTTATTTATTACACTTTTCATCTTTCGTTTTGTCAATTGGTTGACCAATCAATAAATTTCGTCGGGAGATGAAAAATTGTTACAAGAAATCAGGTAATTTGATATTCGTGGATCCAAAGAATAAGAAAATTAATTTAAACGAAGCTGTTTAAATAAACAATCTGCGAGATTCAATCAGAAGATCAACTGAGTATTTTATTTAAATTAATTTATAATTTTATAATATATTATTATTATTATTATTGATGAACCTATAACTGTAATTGGTGATTTTAATGCCCCCACTTATGGAATTAACCGTCAAATTAATAAACTTAATTTAAAAGCGATACAGCAAACCTACAATCTTTCTCAATTTTTAAATGCACGGCAAATTGTTACTGGTACCAAATGTTTCTAATAGATATCTTGTTTGATTTTCTCAAATGCTAATTGTCATTTACAGACGTGATTAACCGATGATTTTTGTTATAGTTCATCAATAAATTAATTACATTGGATGATCAACTGATAATTTTATTAATTCATCAATAACCGATTGATTCCATTGATCAACCAGTCGATTCCATCCGAGAATCTTTCAAGTTATATGTATATATATATATAATTGGTTGAATAATTTTTTTATTCCATAGGTTAATCTAACCGTTTACAATCAGTTAATCAAACAAAATAATTAATTCATTGAATCAACATATTTTGTGATTAAACTATATTATATCATCTAATTAAATTCATTAGTTTTCATCAAAAAATTAAACCTATTATAGTTGATGAATCCAATCTATTCATATAATCATTCAGTCAATCAATATTCATGATAATAATAAAATGATCGTACAAATTAATTTATTCTGATAATAATCAAACCATTGAATTAATTGACTGATCAGAAAAATGGACATTAGTGCAAAAAAATAGACATGAAATGATGTAAAAATTAGAAAAGAAGAATGATGATAATATTATCAAAAATGGCTTATATATTTATATGTACAGTAGGGTTATAGGAAATATATCATTTAGATTGCCAGGAGATTACTGAA